CAAAATCCATTCATGCATGACTGAGATCCGGTTCCGGAATTGTGAAATACGTGATTTTGATGCATTTTCGGCCTTAAAATGGCCATCATTCAGCTATTGTTAAGCGGACCATGAAACAAATGCACATATCTATTTGTGACATGATGTACCATGTGTGTGTGAAGTTTGAACTTGATCAATCCAGACATGTCTTGGATACGGATCCAGAACTGAATTCTTTAAAACAAAATGGCCGCCAGTCAGCCATTTCAAACTTGATCCGAAAAAAAAATGACGTGCATCAAGGTCCTATTATGTTTAATGTATGTACCAAATTTGAACGAAATCCGTCCATGCATAACTGAGATCCGGGTTCGGAATGGTGAAAATGTGCGATTTCAATGCATTTTCGGCCTTAAAATGGCCGCTATTCGGCTATCGTTAATCGGATCATGAAAAAAATGCATGTGCATATGTCACATATAATGTGTGATGTACGAGTGAAGTTTGAACTTATCGGTCCATGCATAACTGAGATCCGGGTTCGGAATGGTGAAAATGTGCGATTTCAATGCATTTTCGGCCTTAAAGCGGCCGCCATTTGGCTATCGTTAATGAGATCATGAAACAAATGCACATACATATTTGTGACATGATGTACCTTGTGTGTGTGAAGTTTGAACTTGATCAATCCAGACATGTCTCGGAAACTGATCCAGAACTGAATTCTTCAAAACAAAATGGCCGCCAGTCGGCCATTTCGAACTTGATCCGAAAAAAAAAAAATGACGTGCATCAAGGTCCTATTATGTTTAATGTATGTACCAAATTTGAACGAAATCCGTCCATGCATAACTGAGATCCGGGTCCGGAATGGTGAAAATGTGTGATTTTGATGCATTTTCAGCCTTAAAATGGCCGCTATTCGGCTATCGTTAATCGGATCATGAAAAAAATGCATGTGCATATGTCACATATAATGTGTGATGTACGAGTGAAGTTTGAACTTATCGGTCCATGCATAACTGAGATCCGGGTCCGCAATGGTGAAAATGTGCGATTTCAATGCATTTTCGGCCTTAAAGCGGCCGCCATTTGGCTATCGTTAATGAAATCATGAAACAAATGCACATACATATTTGTGACATGATGTACCTTGTGTGTGTGAAGTTTGAACTCGATCAATCCAAGCATGTCTCAGATACGGATCCAGAACTGAATTCTTTAAA